CTCAACCTGCGACCACTTGTTACCAACCTTTGGCTTGTTTACTGACTATCTTTCTGAGTATCCCAAACCTGCTATATCTGCAACTGAACCATGGCTTGCTCACCACCTGGTGGGGGAATCCTGAGGACCATGACCTGGTACTAACATGCTGCTAAACCCATCTCCACCATCAAGAGCTCTAGCGAGCAACGGTTGGTGCTTAGACTCTGCAACTTGAGTGAGCCTGTGTCATCTGCTAGGGTGACCTGCTGCTGCCCCCTATTCAGCTGGTTGGTGGGAACCTTTCTACTGCTATAGCTACTAGCCTTTGAGCCTGACCCCTGATTCTGAGACATATATAATACCAGTTATTATTAAGTATGTTACTCTGTGGCAGTATTGTGTAATGCTTGTTTAACCGCTTCAGCCGAGTTAGTTAGCCGAACCCTGTACTCTGTGTGTAGCTCACCTATGGACCCTGCACTCCATGCATAGAGCACCCCTGGAACCTACACTCTGTGCGTAGCACATCCCTGGACCCTGAACTCTGTGCATAGTGCAACCCTGGACCCTGTACTCTGTGCGCAGCGCAGCCCTGAACCCTGCACTCTGTGTGTAGCAGAGCCCTGGGCCCTGCACTCTGTGCATAGAGCAGCTGGACTCTGCACTCTGTTCATAGAGCAGCCCCGGACTCTGCACTCTGTTCATAGAGCAGCCCCGGACTCTGCACTCTGTGCATAGAGCAGCCCCGGACTCTGCACTCTGTTCATAGAGCAGCCCCGGACTCTGCACTCTGTGCATAGAGCAGCCCCGGACTCTGCACTCTGTGCATAGAGCCGCCCTAGACTCTGCACTCTGTGCATAGAGCCGCCCTAGACTCTGCACTCTGTGCATAGAGCCGCCCTACTCTGCACTCTGTGCATAGAGCCGCCCTGGACCCTGCACTCTGTGCATAGAGCAGCCCGGACCCTGCACTTTATGTACTTTAAAATCACCCCATTCCCTTAAAACCAAACACATATTAATTATGTCCTGTGGCTGATTAAGGTGGTAATTAAACTCACTTGGTGCCTTATCTGCATTAAATTAACCTCAGAATCTGTGTAATTAATATGTGTTTGGTTTTAAAGGATGAGGTAGCAACCCTACCTGGACCCTGCACTCTGTGTGTAGCACAGCCTTGGACCCAAGTGCGTAGGCATGGACCCTATGCCCTCTGCCATGGATGCCCTGGAAAATTCACCCAGCCCTGGACCCTGCATTCAGTTTCAGTAGCATGCTTGAACCCTCTACTTTCACTATGAAACTAGGAAGTTCAGGGAAGCCTGAAACCACCTGTTGGTGGCGAGTAACAAGGCCAGCTAGCTCAGGACTTGAAATTTTAAGCCCTCCACCTAAACTGCAATACTTGTTTTTTCTCTAGGGTAGAGAAAAAACAAGTCTCAAAAAAATAATTATGTGGGGGGACTTTTTAATAATGTTTGCCCATTAGGCATTATGTCCATGATAAAATTCACTTTACAGTTTTTTCAGTTCTGCTAATAACTCTTTCCTATGAAGACTGGAAGTTCAGGGAAGCAGCACAAAGAGAGCAGGAGCCAGCAGCATTGAAAGCAGTAAACTGCAGGTGCCAGGGTAAGAATCTCAAACAAATACCAGGCTAAGTTTTACATTGTGCTCAATATGTTAAGCTACAAAACCACTGATGGTTTCATACTACTTAAAGTGAACTGCACAGCATCTGAGCACCACAAGCCAACAATTAAAATTGAATTCCTTTTTAATATTCAAAGCAAACTCACCATCCATGCCTTCATGCTGAGAAATCATTTTGACCCTCCCCCTAGCATTTCTGGGCATGGCCATCTTGAGTAAGGGCCGGTGATTAATGTAGCATTTACTTCCTGGAATCCATCTACCCTTAGCTCTGGCATAGGCTAAGCTGAGAACCCTCCCTACCCTCCTGAAGACTGCTGGGATGTATGCCATCATTTCCCTAGGCATGGAAACCAGGAAGTAACTGAAGAAATGTAAAAAAGTTTCAAACAAGTAAATATGATATGCTTTCCTATCTATTTACTAATGCTAGCAGCATAAGGATTAAAATAGTTCATGTTGATTGAAAGAGTGAAGGTCCACCTTAACTACTTTGCTGAAAACAGATAAATTACAGAACTGAACAGCCAAAGCTCAAATTACAGAAGTGGCTAAATGATCAGTGAAATATTTCATCCCCCTCCCTGTCTTCCAGCTCTGCACAGCTCTCTATGTTTTGATTAGAGAGACAGTCGGAAAGGGAGAGGCTACTGCTGTGCTCTCTTATTAGAAAACCCAACGCAACTTTGGGAATTCCAGGAAAACTCCGGACACGAACCTGAGGAAAACAAGCTTTTTATTTACCAGCTGGTTAAATTGACCTAGCCAGACTCGTGTCTGCAAGCTAAGTGCCTTGAAAAGCATCTTACATGGTGTATATATCAACAAAATTTATGTCACAAAGCATATATTTCCTCTTTTACTTTTCGTACCTTTAAAATACATTCTGAGCAGTTTGGGATATAGCCTTTGAGGTTTCACATTTAGATAAAATATCACCAACTGAAAGTTAGGGTGTCAGCTGCTAGACTGGAAGACATTGTTCCACAGGAAATGAGGAGGAGGAAGTGAGCTGATTACCTGGTTCTGTAAACAGATGCTTTTAGAAATGTTAAAGCTTGAAGGGGAGCTCTGCAATATTTGGGTGCTGCCACAATTGGTGCACTCTGTAATATATGTTTATTTGTCACAAAGATTTAACAAACAAAAAAAATGAAATGTTTAAACACCTGTGAGAAAAGTACATTTTAAATAAAATAGACCAGGATTCCTTATCCGCTTCCGTACTGCCCTATAACAGAACTACTGCTACAGGGAGGCAGCACTGCGCAAAATCACGTGATTTTGTATTTCCAGGAAAACTCTGGATACAAACTTGAGGAAAACAAGCTTTTGTAGCCATTGGCGGCTACAGCTGTCGATCACCGGGTCCCAGCGGTGATCCCTGCAGGCACCTGGCAATCGCTGAGGAGCACTGACAGGGGAGAGGTCTGTATGTAAACAATACAGATCTCTCCCCTGTCTGCTCCAGCACGCTGCTTTATATTGCTCTGCATAGCAGAGCAATACAAAGCAGTGTGCTTACACAGTAAAGCACACACAGCACACAGGAAAACAGCACACAATTACCCTTTGATCACCCCAGATGTTAACCACTTCCTGCCCAGTGCCATTAGTATAGTGTCAGTGCTTTTTATTATCACTGATCACTGTATTAGTGTCACTGGGAATGACAGTGACAGTTAGTCAGTTCCCCCCCAGTGTCAGAATGCCCGCCGCAGTCCCGCAGTCCCGCTATAAGTCGCTGATCGCTGCCATTACTAGAATAAAAAAAAAATTCCATTATATATACCACCATTTGTAGACGCTATAACTTTCACGTAAAGCAATTAATTTACATGCAGTGGGATTTTTTTTTAGCAAAGACATTTTGACCTAAATTTATGATGAAATTTGATGTTTACATTTTTTTTACTAAATCTGTTTTATAGCAAAAAGTCCAAAATTTGTTTTTTTTTCAAAATTGCCTTTTTTTGGTTATAGCGCAAAAAGTTAAAAACGCATAGGCGATCAAATACCACCAAAAGAAAGCTCCATTTGTGGGAAAAAAGGACATAAAATCCATGTGGGTTCAGCGTTGCATGACTGCGCAATTGTCAGTTAAAGTAACGCAGAGCCGTATTGCAAAAAATGGCCTGGTCAGGAAGGGGGTAAATCCTCTGGAGGGCAAGTGGTTATATTTTTTTTTTTCTATAAATGATGTCAAAGCCAGGTGAAAAAAAAAAAAAAAATGAAAAAGATGGTTGGGTGGATTACCATAATTACTGATAATAATCTGCCTTCCTGCCTATGGTCTTAGAAAAAGCGAAGTAGAAGGTGAACAGGAAAGTGTTGCAGGAGCGAATTACACAAAGATAATACAATTTAATGACCTCATTAAAACCATCGTATTACCGAGGATATAGTAATAAACACCGAGCTTCTCTCTGGCTTCCCGAGGAATATCAATGTGGTTACAATATGCTTACGGTTTACAGATTTATTTTTAAATTGCCTCTAGAGAGTCAAAGAGCAGTTACTTTCTCCCATGAAAAAGTTGTTTTCTTAGCCTTCAAAATACCATAACAGATGGAGCAGATTATGCTTTGATGACAGCAGGGCTCCTCAGCTTTGGAGCAGCTAAGTTATTACCTTAGCAGCCATTTGGAAATGGTATGGACCCTCATATTTCCTATTTACATCATTAATTTATATTGTGCAGACCTTGATCCTGTCCCATTATAATCTAATGGTTCTATCATGATTACAAAACATCATTTTACAGTGGAACTCTTCCTCTGTGGGATTATATGAAGACTATATTATGGCTGGTGACAACACAGGGTCAGCAGATAAGTAAAGCTTGGCCTCTGCAACTGTACCAGAGGTGAGAATAAATGATGTTGAATCATTTGGCATCCACGAGGTAAGTTTGAATGTGAAAAGCAGCCTTTCTCAACCTTGTTACCCCAGAGGAACGCTTGAAATAATTTTCAGGTCTCAAGGAACTCGTGCTAAAGTTAATTCATCAATGGTCAGTGGAAAGAACGTCCCCTTACAATGGTGGTCAGTGGAAAGAATGTTATTTAAATTGGTGGTCAGTGCAAAAAATGTCCCCTTACAATGGTGGTCAGTGGAAAGAATGTCATTTAAATTGGTGGTCAGTGGAAAGAATGTCCCCTTACAATGGTGGTAAGTGAAAAGAATGCTCCTTACATTGGTGGCCAGTGGGAAAAATGCTTCTTACATTAATGCCCAGTGAGAAGAATGCTCCTTACATTGGTGGCCAGTGAGAAAAATGTTTCTTACATTGATGCCCAGTGAGAAGAATGCTCCTTACATTGGTGGCCAGTGAGAAAAATGTTTCTTACATTGATGCCCAGTGAGAAGAATGCTCCTTACATTGGTGGTCAGTGGGAAGAATGTTCCTTACATTAGGTTATCAGTGGGAAGAATGCTTCCTAAATTGGTGGCCAGTGAGAAAAATGCTTCTTACATTGATGCCCAGTGAGCAGAATGCTCCTTACATTGGTGGCCAGTGAGAAAAATGCTTCTTACATTAATGCCCAGTGGGAAGAATGCTCCTTACATTGGTGGTCAGTTGGAAGAATGCTCCTTACACTGGTGGTCAGTGGGGTGGTCAGTGGGAAGAATGTTCCTTACATTAGGTGATCAGTGGGAAGAATGCTTCTTACATTGTTGGTCAGTGAGAAAAATGCTTCTTACATTGATGCTCAGTGAGAAGAATGCTCCTTACATTGGTGGTCAGTTGGAAGAATGCTCCTTACACTGGTGGTCAGTGGGAAGAATGTTCCTTACATTGGTGGTCAGTGAGAAGAATGTTCCTTACATTAGGTGATCAGTGGGAAGAATGCTTCTTACATTGGTGGTCAGTGAGAAGAATGCTGCATACGTTGGTTGTAAGTGAGAAGAATGTCATCTTACAGTGTTGGTCGAAATGTCACCTTTCCAGACAGCGAAAATAATCATTGATGTCATGCCACAGGCTCTGTCACGTGGCAGTGGCCCCGCAAATATGTAAGCACTATCAAATGGGAGATCAATCATCCACAGCTCAAGGAACCCTTATCAACCTTTGTAGGAACCCTGGTTCAGAGTGGCTGGTTTAAAGTGTATTTTAACTTTTGCAGTTAAATTTGAGAAAACCCTACTATATGCTTATTATGTGTTCCCATTCACACAGCATACCTAAAAATTATTGTAACACCCTGTCGTATTACTGCTTGCAGGATGTTAAATGGACACACAATGGCAGTGTGCTGCAGCCCAGTTGTACAGACTTTGTTGAAAAGCTTTGTGGGATTTGTAGGCTGACTGCAGGACTTTGCTGTTTGACAATGAGCTAACAAACTACATTTCCCTGAGGAGCTGGCGTGTGGGCTGAGGCAAATAAATACAGAAGCCCGGGAACCCAGGGACAGGAAGTGAATGGGGAGAGCTGGAGAGTGGGTGTGAGGAGGAGGCTGTGCGGGATGCTGGAGGTCCGGGCCAGGCCAGACCACTGAGAGTGGAGGAGAAAGGAGGAATTGCTGAATGCTGAAACGTCTGATGAGTCTGGTGTACTGCCCTGTAAGCAGGCTGACCTGAGAGCTGTTGTCTGGTGTTGTCTCTGAAGGAGGAACCACAAGAACAAGGGGGGCCTCCGCCTACAGAAAGACTGTCCGTGACCTGACCAAGTCCACGGATCGAGTGAGAAAGTTCCACTTTCAAGTCATTTAAGTTGAAAATAACCATACTCAATTCAGGTACTTTCCACCCAGTTTGACTAACATTGTTTTCCAAGGTACACGTATCAAGGTCCAGTTCTCACAGCCTACTAATTTATTGCCCATTCATTAATCTTTGCCTAATCCTACATCTCACCTTGTGGGATTTCAAGGGGTACCGTCCAAATTTAGATACCATTTAAAGGGGCAGCTCCTTTTCACCCTCTAAAAAGTAATACATTTGCCTTAAGGAAGATTTGAATCTTTATGTGCACCAACTAGGCCTCATCAAGCGCACAAAAGATCAGATACTGAAGCTCAAAGGGACATTGGTCTGTTTATTTGAAGAACTCTTCTTTTCTCAGAATTAAACCCAGTCACCAGCCCCTGAGAGCCCAAAGTGACCTAGTCTCTTTGTAGTTTTATTTGCTCACTGGGGAAGAAATATAACAGGACTGGAGCTACCGTTTAAATTCTGAATGGCAGGACATCTAGAACTGATTGAGATTGTGCTGCATTGTGACTCTGATTGAAGTTATTTAGAGTGATAACGGTTATTTCATGCACATATTTCTTTGTTTCCCTACTGTGCTTACTTTTGACCTTTAATACAACCAAAATATCAGTTCACTCTAACCTGTGTGAGTCTATTTTATGCTTGCAGCCAGAGGTTTAAGGTGGTGTCAGCAGGGGTTTGGCTTTAAGAGAGGGCTCAGGCAAGTCAGGGAACCCAAAATGACTCAGCGGCCCCTGAGGAGGTAGTGCTACATAATTTAGAAAAAAAAATCTTTACCTTTCTAGTGTGTTTTTTTTTCAGCAGGGGGCCTTTGGGCAGACTGAAAACTATTCCGAACAATTTAAAAGTGAAAGTGGAAGGACACAGTGGAGACAGAAAGGGTTTCCTCATATTAATATACAATGCAGAACCCAAGCCCAGAGATTTTTAAAGTGGAGTTCCAGTCAGTCTGTGTTTATTAAAAGTCAACAGCTACAGAAACTGCAGCTGCTGACTTCTAATAAACACACACTACACTTACCTGTCCCGGAGTCCAGCAATGTGCTCACCAGCTCCGTCCCTTCTCCCCTTCTGCTCTCCTTGGTGCCGGCATCAAAACTGTGGGCACCCGGCAGTGACAGCTTGCGGCTTCACAGCCGGGTGCCCACTGCACATGCGCTGCTCATTCTGATTGGTCCAGCAGTCTTTGGGGACCTGTGAAAGTTCCCTGGAGAATACAGAAAGAAGGACAGGGCTGAACTTCTGGCTCATTTCTCTGCAGCAAACTGAGTCAGAAGTCGGAGCGGGTACCTGTCAAAACCAAGTACCCGTTCCCCCCCAAAAGGTGCCAAATATGGCAGTGGAGGAGGGGGGGGGGAGGCAAACAAATGGGTACCAGGGGTGGACTGACCATTCGAGCACTCGGGCACTGCCCGAGGGCCTGGGGTCAGTAGGGGGCCCTATAAAATGCCCCTGGTACCTTTTATAGGCTATTTTGGGTGTGTTTTGAGTGTGGGCAAGGACACAGGGGCCCCATGATCCCCAATTGCCCAGGGGCCCCATGAGTTGTCAGTCCACCCCTGCCAGGTACTTATACCCCCTTCCTGCCCAGGCCAATTTTCAGCTTTCAGTGCTGCCACACTTTGAATGACAATTGCGCAGTCGTGCAACACTATACCCAAATGAAATGTTTATCTTTTTTTCACACAAATAGAGCTTTCTTTTGAAGGTATTTACTTGCCACTGGAGGTTTTATTTTTTCGCTGTAAACAAAAAAAAGCATAAAATTTAAGAAAAAAAGTTTCTTTGTTTCTATTATAAAATTTAGCAAACGGGTAATTTTTCTTCTTCACTGATGTGCATTGATGAGGCTGCACTGATAGGCAGCAATGAGGCTGCACTGCACTGATAGGCAGCAATGACTGGCACGATAGGCAGCACTGATGGGCACTGATGAAGTGGCACAGGATAGGCAGCACTGATGGGCACTGATAAGAGGCACTGATGAGCTGGCATTGATGATGCTGCACTGATAGGCAGTACTGATGGGTGGCACTGATGAGCAGCACTGATGGGCACTGATGGGTGGCACTGACTGACGGCACTGCTGGGCAGCACTGATGGGTGGCACTGCTGCACACAGGTGGGTGGCACTGCTAGGAACAGGTGGGTGGCACTGCTAGGCACTGCTGGGCACAGGTGGGTGGCACTGCAGGGTGGCACTGATGGGCACAGGTGGGTGGCACAGGTGGGTGGCAATGCTAGGCAGTGATCATCAGGGCAGTGATCATCAGGGCACTGATGATCAATGCCGATCACTTCTCTGACAAATGCTGGTTATCGGCAGTACTTTCCTCATGCTGTGACAGGGTGAGGAAATGCAGCCGATAACCGGCAGCTGTATTTACCTGTTGATCTGCTGTGTCATTGGACACAACTGATCATGTGGTAAAAGGCTTCTCTGATTGGCCGTTTACCATATCATGTGATCAGCTGTGTCCATAGGACACAGCAATCACCGGCGGCGACAGGTGCGCACTGCTGGGGGCGCGCAGGGGGCATGTTCTGGGAGGACATCCATGGACGCCCTCCCAGAACTAGTCAACCGCGCTGTAGCCATTTTTCAGCTATAGCGCAGTATGGAACCGGTTAAGCAGCCCATTCATTAATCCAGTGAGTTAAAAAAAAAATAAAAAATGACCCGGGTCCCCCAACCACATACTTCATGTGTATGGGGGAATCACTCCCGCTGAGTTATTGTATTCTGACAGAGGCTTCCTGTCGTCTGGCCTAGGCCAAAATGATGTCATACATCCCAGCAGTCTTCTTTTCTTTCATCTGAAGGAGGGGAGGAGGGGCTGTCTCAGCTATGTACGCCGTCCTGCCTGCATGCCTGAGCTAAGGGCATATGGATTCCAGGAAGTAAGTGCTACAGGAATCATCTGCCCTCTGCTAGGGGGATGATTTTCAAAGTAATTTCTCGAAAAATAAAGCATGGAGACATGGATGGATGGGTGAGTTTGCTTTGAATATAGAAATTATTTAAATAGTGTTTTTGGTTTGTGCTGTTTTCAGTGATAGGGTGACGGTATATCTAGTAGTAATTAGTCACATACACCTGGACTTGTTCTGTAATGTTGAAGATGTTTCATAGCTTAGCCATTGCTGCAGTTGTCATGAGAGACTATTATTTATTATTACTCTTAACATATTTACACATTTTACAGGCTTTTCTTAAAGGACGCTGCACCTGCTTCCTCCTTCTCCACCCACCAACCCTGTGCCTGCTCTTTTTCTGCACCGACTAGTGCTGAACCCACATGCTTTGTGTTTGACTAAAGCCTGCACTCTTATTAACCTCTTCCCGTCTGGCCCATGCCTGAACAAGTGTTGCCGATGCGGGGGGATGTTTCTATACGCCCCCCGCATCCGTAGCCTGTGTACGCTCCGTGGGAGTGGGCAGCACCGTGATCCTTGCCCTCTTTGCCCACCAGACACAGCGGAACACAGATTGCTGTATGGTACTGCTTTGTGAGGTTCCAATTCACGTGATCAGTGATTGGCCAATCAGTGATCACATGGGCAGTGGTAAACAAGATGTCACTTCCTGACATCATTGTTTACTACTTGTGAAATCTGTGAATGATCACAGAGGTCACATGGTACAAGGCCTTTCACAACAACCCTGTACCATGTGACAATCTGTGACCAATCACAGCTCTCACAGTATTTCTCAATGGCTACAAGAATGCAGCCAGAGAGAAAGTTATTGCTTTTACAGCTGTTATGTGTGTTAAAGCAATCAATGTAAAGAAAAAAAATCTTCATTACCCACAAGTAGTACAGTGTCACTATATCACTTTTGCTTTATAAAATTATCTTAAACAATTTTTTATAAACATTTTTTGAAAAATTATCTTTTTTTTTATAAACTGATTTGGGTTATGTTTTTCCAAAAAGATAGCTGAATACATTTTGGACAAGATTTATGAAGAAAGATTATTTATTTGCAAAATTATATAACAAAAACACTTTTTTTTCATAATTTTTGGTCTTTTTAAATTATACAGCAAAAAAAAAAAAAAAAAATCCCGGTAATGAATAAATACCACCAAAAGAAAGTTTTATCTGTCTCAAAAAATGAGAAAAAGTTAATTTGGGTGCAGTGTTGCATGACCGCGCAATTGTCATTCAAAGTGTGAGCGTGCTAAAAGCTGAAAATTGGCCTGGACT